CCCTCTCATGCGAGCCGTCTCTCCTGTCTTGAGGAAATGGAATCTCGAGAGGTAGAATTGTCAGAGGATGAGGATCTACTTCCACAGCAACCTGCCTTTTATTGGTCTCTTTCCTCAGGCCATTTTTAACTCCTTGTTACACAAGGCTATTAATACAGCTCAGCTTGGCTCGAGTTCTACAGAAACTGCTCCCTCATCTTCTCACGATGTCATTAATCCTCTCTTTGCGGAGCTGTCAAGGCCAGTGGACTCCATTCCTATTCCGCCGCTATTCCTTGATATTGTTAAAAAACAATGGACAATGCCGGGGTCGGCTCCGGTTCCTTCTTCTACGGATCGGAAGAACTTCAATGTGGCTCCTGCTTTGACCTCTCTTCTCTAGGTCCCGATGGTAGACGCTCCAGTGGCCGCTTTATTACCTAACTCTTCCGTTCCTGGGGATCCGGATGAAGGTCTTTGTTAAGGATATAGTTGTGAGATAACCAGGACTGGTTATGAAGCAGAGCGTAGAGTTTTGCACACAGAAACGGTTCTGAGAGTAATTGTGAATAAACTGCATACAAACTGGTTTTTAAAGTATTTTACTTATAGAGCAATGCAAAATCATAGTCCTTTTACCAATCCAAGTCTTAGCCATGCATAATCAATCCAGAGATACAAAACTTCTTACCGGTTCATAGAACAATACATGAATCATTCAGGAGCAATATTAAAACAGTTCATAAAAGCAGTAATAAATAAACCATGATCAAATTGACCTTGTAAAGAGATCAAAGATATTTACAACATAGCAGCAGGGAACAATATGGTGTAATGTCCACACTGACCACAATCAAGCTCTCCTTAAATACAGTTGCTACAGAGCTCATCCAATCAGGATGCAGAATGACTCAGCAATACTCTTAAAGCTATATTATACATATTCATACTATAAACATATAATGTTGGCTTATATATTTCCTGGCCAACTAGTTAGGCAATGACCATTTCCTAACAGTCTTCGACCAGAGGAGCATCGGGCGGACCAAGTGCTCCAACGCGCTCATCAGGGAGCATCATGGGCGATCCGGTCATCTACAACCGCTTCATTCTTCAATTGTACGACCCTGTTGTGGCTTTGTCAGCTGCAAGATAAACTATCTCCTGGGGACACTAGAGTACAGCAGGACTTAAACAAGATCATTGCAGCGGTCCAATTTTCCCTCAACGCCGCTCGTTTCACTGCCAAGTCCCTAGTATCCTCTGTCACTGCCCGTCGCTTGGTCTGGCTCTGCCATTGACAAGCAGATGCAAGGCACAAGTGGCGTCTTGTGTCTGTTCCCTTTACAGGATCTAAATTGTTCGGTGACCAGTTGGAACCATTTCTTATAGAGACTAAGGATAAGCGAAAGATCCTTCCTACAGCACGATGCAGAGGGGAGTTGAGATTTTTCCCTTATTTCCAGTGCTCACAGTTTCGAGGACCTGAAGGTGTGTCCCGTTTTACTGGGAATTCCCCCCCCCCCAGACAGCGTGGTTACCAAGACACGTCATCACAGGGTAGACCATTTTTGGGTAAGCGGCCCTTTCGTGGGGGAGAAGGTCGTTCATTCCAATGCCATCGCTAGCTGCATTTCTGGTTCTCCCATTGGTGGCAGATTAGCCCTCTTCGCTTAAAGACTAAAGCTTGCACAACATTATTGATGTCCATGGATACTGAACAGCAGGTTACCTTTCCGCCTGATGCAACAGCCCAACAAATTTGGGTCCAATTGGAAAATTGCTACAGGCCTGTTTCAATTGAATCTTCATGTTTGCTCATGTCTGAGTTCCATGGTTTGAGATTGAAACCTGGTGAACAAATTGGAGGACATTTAACCAAACTGAAAGGAATGAGAAAAGAATTGAAAGAGGCTATCTTATTGATGATATTCAAATGATCAGCATTATTATTAACTCATTGAATTATGAATGGAAAGATGCCATTACAAAGATTAATCCAGTGCCTATTGCTCAATGCACAGTGGACCATGTATGCAGACTTTTAACTGAAGAAGCACTCATGTTAGCCACGCCACATTTGCGAGGATCATTCGCATCAAGAGCTCCAGCGAGGCGTCCCTTACGAGGAAGAGCCTACATTCCAAGGATGCCAAGATGCTACATCTGTAATCGTGTGGGACATGCCACCCAGGATTGTCCCCAACGAGTTCCAGCTCCCGTCTCGTACCAGCCCCAAGGAACAGATTCCAGAGGAGGCAGAGGCAGAGGCGGAAGACAAGGTCGTCGTGGTTCCAAGCATGATCTGCAACCTCCACCCACCACATTGGCTTTAACCAACAATCCACAACCTCAACCAGAGTACAACAGATGACTTATGTGGACTTTGGACAGTGGTGCAGCGTTGCATGTTACCTACAGAAAGGAACTTTTCACAGAGATGCACAAGCCTGAACCTGAACTACGTGAACTTTATTCTTTTTCCAATCATCCTTGTCAGGTCAAAGGAAAAGGAACTGTTTATGTTGAAGAGCTTGATGCATTCATTCCTGATGTTTATTATATACCAACAGCAAATAGTAATTTGCTTAGTCAGAGTCACTTGCAGATTTTATAGTCTGCATTTAACAAAGATAGAGGCCTATAGTTTTTGATTTGTTGTGGGTCTGTTTCTTCTTTATGAATCAAAGTGATATATGCCTCAGTCCATGTTTTGGGTATTTCTTTTTTTATCATTACTTCATTCAAAACTTCCAGCATTGGGATCAATAATGATTCTTGTAGCATCCTGTAGTATTCAGCTGGCAGTCCATCCGGACCTGGTGCCTTTCCATTCTTCTGTTTCTTAATTGCCTCAGTTAATTCCATCATCATTATGTTTCTGTCCAATAATTCCTCGACCTCTTTGGGGATTTGTGGTAGTTTAGCTTTTTGTAGATACCTTGCCACTTTATCTTCTTCTATCACATCTTTCTTATACGATTGTGTATAGTATTCCTGAATTATTTTCCCCATCTCTTTATTTCCAAATCTACTTTGTCCTTGATGATCAATTAGTTGCGTTATTTTTCTTGATTCTCTTTCTTTTTTCAATTTATATGCTAACCATCTACCTGATTTATTTGCATTTTCAAAATAATTCTGTTTAGCAGTTCTTATTTTTTGAGCTAATTCTTCCTTCTCTTGTAGATCCATTTTGTGCTTTATAATATCCATTTTAATTTTTACATCTTTCTTACATGGATCTTTCTGGAGTTTTTTTTCAAGTCTTTTATGATAATCTGTCAGTATTTTGAGGGTTTGTCTTTTCTTCACATTTCTTTTCCATGTATAATCAATAATTAATCCTCTGGCAAAGGCTTTCATTGTATCCCAACGATTTTGTGTCGATGTTTCTTTCTTATTCTCCTTAAAAAAAAAGTCCAATTCTCGTTTCATTATCTGTGCAAAGTCTTTCTCTTTTAATATTGTATTGTTCAATGTCTATCTAGATCTGCCTTTTCGACCTTTCCAAATAGCAATCACCGGATTATGATCCGCCCATGTGTTGGTATCTATATTCACTTGTTCAATATTTAAAGTCAATTCCATTGTTGTCCATATCATATCTAATCTGGACCAAGGTAAGTGTCTATCGGAGTAGAAAGTATATTGTCTATTTTTTCCATTTCTCTCCCTCCAAATATCTTTCAAATTTATTTCCTCTATCATTTTAAAAAAGGTCCTCGGCAATATCTTTCTGCTATATCTTGTTGTTCTACTTGTTTTATAGTCCAGTTTTTCATCTACGATTCCATTAAAATCCCCCATCATACAAACATTTTCATACTCCATTTCAATTATCTTATTATGTAATTTCCTGTAGAAGTCACTCTGATTATTGTTAGGGCCATATATTGCTACTAAAAGCAATTTTGTATTGTTGTCAATTAATTCCACAATCAAAATTCTGTCTTCTGAGTCCGCATATTTCTGCTCAGCCATTATGCATAACTCAGCATAACTTTGTTATGTCCCATGCCTGGCTGCTGTCTCCACCCACAATGGAGAGGGGGCGTTTGTCCTACCTGATATGCACCTTCTCGTTGGGTGGAGACAGCAGCCAGCCCCACTCTTTGTCAGTCTGGTTCAACTAACTAACTAACTTACTAACTTTCTTCTTTCTCACACACGTCAAGTGTGTTTTCCATCTTCGCCAAAAGCTGGAAGACCCCTAGCAACAGGGGCGGGATTTAGCTTCTTGACAGACTCAGTCCACCAATCTGAACAGACGAGTACAACCCATGCCTGGCTGCTGTCTCTACCCAACGAGAAGGTGTGTATCAGGTAGGACCAACGTCCCTTCTTGGTGTATCTTGGAACTACAAGTATTGTTCCTATAAATTTGGACTGTACAGCTTTCAGGAAATTAAACTTTGTAAAAATGCAATTTTGAATGCCATAAAGAAGCTGAGAGAGAACCTTAGCAAGAAAAACCATACAAACTACAGAAATAAAATGTTCCTACTTTGAGCAGACTTTTAAGATAGCTAGGGAGCTTTGCTGGGCCATGCTTACCTGATAAGAAAAATGTGCACTCCAAGATTAGGAAGCCTTGAACTGCACCCCCAAGATATTTATAAGAACATGCTTGTTTTATTGGGGTTAATTTGCCATTTATATAACCTTCTTTTGTATTGTCAAACATTAATGCTTTAGCTTTTTGATAATTTACTATAAATTGTTATTTTAGGCAAAAGGAAACCCAAGGATCAAAATCCAATTTTTGTACAGGCACTGAATTTATATTAGTAATGATAGGTTACATTTTTCCAAAATTTAAATACAGTTAAAATGGATGTCTACTGTGGTAGAATTTATGAACACAAATCATCCTGGGGCTGAATGAATTATATTGAACATTAATGTTAACATTAAAATTGACACGGTTTCTAATTGACAAGGGCAATTTTTATATACACAATTATTAAATTATATATTGCCCTCCACTGTTGGCAAATTAAAGTTTTTGTCTTTCATAGGTTACATCCCAGAGAAACTTTGAAATTGATTATGCTCGCAACTGTTTCCTTAAGGATGGGAAACCATTCCGCTACATTTCAGGCAGCATCCATTATGCCCGGATTCCCCGTTTCTACTGGAAGGACCGTCTCTTGAAGATGAAAATGGCAGGCCTTGATGCTGTTCAAATGTAAGTAACACTGAAACTCTCAGACCCCTAAAGACAGGAATTCACCTGAGGTTTATGGTTGCAGTCATTGAAAATGTAGCATCATAAGATGATGATCAGAAATGTCAAATGTTTGCAGTTCAGGTAACAATTATTTTCTTCAATAAAGAATAATAGAGAATATTCTGTTGTCTATATCAGGGGTCCCCAATCCCTGGTCTGTGTCACCAGCACCGGACCATGGTATGCCAACAACTAGGCTGTGCAAACAAACAAGGGCTCATCCATGGGATGCAGGTAGCTCACAAAACCACATCCCCTCCAGTCCTTGGAAGAACTTTCTCCATGGAACTGGTCACTGGTGCCCAAAAGGTTGGGAGCCACTAGTCTGTATAATGCATTTGTTTATCATTTTATTCAGGAACATGCTTTTGGTAAGCCAAAATCAGTTTTTAACAGATTAACAGAGTTAGAAGGGACCTTGTAGGTCATCTAGTCCAACCTCCTGCCAAAGCAGGAGACCCTTTTTGACAAATGGCTTTCCAGTCTTTTCTTGAAAGCCTCCAGTAATGAAGCTCCAACAACTTCCGAAGGCAAACTGTTCCATTGGTTGATTGTTCTCACTGTCAGAAAATTTCTCCTTATTTCTAGGTTCAATCTCTCCTTGGTCAGTTTCCATCCATTATTCCTTGTCTGGCCTTCAGGGGCCTTGGAAAATAGCCTGACCCCTTCCTCTCTGTGGCAGCCCCTCAAATATTGGAACACTGCTATTATGTCTCCCCTGGTCCTTCTCTTCACTAGACTAGCCATGCCCAGTTCCTGTAACCGTTCTTCATATGTTTTAGTCTCCAGTCCCCTAATCATCCTGGTTCCTCTTCTCTGCACTCTTTCTAGAGTCTCAACATCTTTTTTATAGTGTGGTGACCAAAACTGGATGCAGTATTCTAGGTGTGGTCTTACTAAGGCTTAGAGTGGTATTAGTACCTTACTTGATCTTGATTGTACCCCTTTGTTAATACAATTTAGGATTGCATTGGCTTTTTTGGCTGCCACCACACAGTGCTAACTCATATTTAACTGCTTATCCACTAAGACTCCAAGATCCCTCTCATAGTTACTGCTATTAAATCTGGTTTCACCTAGTCTATATGTATACTTTGGGTTTTTCAAGCCTAAGTATAAGACTTTTCTCTACATTGAATTCCATTCTGTTAGATAGGGCCCAGTGTTCAAGTCTGTCAAGTTCCATCTGGATCTAGGGTGTTAGCTATTCCCGCAAATTTGGTAAGCTCTCCTTCTATTCCCTCATCTAAGTCGTTTATGAAGATATTGAAAAATACTGGGCCTAAGACGGAACCTTGTTGTATCCCACTGCTTATTTCCCTCCATGTAGATATAGACCCATTAAGGACTATTAGTTGTGTGTCAGATGTGCTTCCTTCAAATTCCAGGAAAGAATGACCCAAACTCCATTGTTTATAGAGAAAGGTACTTTTACTAGAAAATGAAGTGAACGCAACCAAAGGAAAGCAGAATCTAAGGCAATAAGTGTGAAAATTGCATATAGAAAGCATCCCCTCCCACTGTCTACCGTAAATCATCCAATCCAAAGGTCTCCGAGGGGTCAGGTGGAAACACACATCTGGCAGCGTCATCAATCAGGAATGCCACGACCGTTGACCCAACGGCAGCTTCAAAGATACAGTCCGGTGGCTTAACTATCGCTTTCGATTCTTCCAGCACGCTTCCCCCCCCATGCTACCTAGCTCTCCCCCCTCCCGTTACTATGGCAGCCAAAGCAGTAAAGGCGGAGGCTGACATTTGGCCCCTCTGCAGAAGAGATTTTAGTCCTAAATAGGGAAAGAGAAAAGAACACAACACAGAAATTAGGGTTTATCAGGATATTTCGTGTGAAACAACTGAACTTTCTTTGGCGCCCGGACATCACATTTATTTACCCATTCAGCTTGAGATAATGGGAAATTCTTCCAGGCCACCCAATTATCTTGGCTGTTCACCGCCCTGAATCCTGCTGGAGAAGGGCGGTATAAAAATCAAATCAAATAAATAAATAAATAAATGCTGCACTTTACTGTGATGCTTCCTAGAATCCAAGATTTCTTTATCTTCAAAATGATGTTCCCCTTCTATCAGTATGGGGACCAGAGGAGAGTCCTGGTTCGGACGCAAAGGGGACGAATGTTCCGGTTTCAGTAAGCTAACATGAAACACAGGGTGGATTCGTCTCAAATTTTTGGGCAATTCCAATTCAACTGTGACTGGGTTGATGAGTCTAGTGATTGGGAAAGGCCCCACTTTGGTCCGAGCTTTTTTGATTTCTGGGAGGTCTGTAAATATTTGGTGGAAAGATAAACCATATCACCCACTTTGTAAACATGTGCCGGGCACCTCTTTTTGTCAGCTTGGGCTTTATGTGCTCGGTGTACGTCATCTAAAGCTTTTCGAGTTACTGCCCAAGTACCCCGTAGTTGTTCCATCCACTCAATTAAAGAGGGGTTCTGTGGATTATCCTGTGGTAGCTCTGGGATTGGCACAAACTGTTGGCCAGAGGCCACTTTAAATGGAGTGAAACCGGTGCTGCTATGTATGGAGTTATTATACACCACCTCCGCCAATGGCAATAGGTCCACCCAGTTACCTTGCTGGTAATTTATGTAACATCTCAGGTACTGTTCTAACACGGCATTGGTTCTCTCACAAGCCCCATTTGTCTGGGTGTGGTGGGCGGAGCTTAACCCCTGGGCGGAGCCTATTAACCCTAAAAACTCCTTCCAAAAGTTGGAGGTAAATTGCACACCCCTGTCCGAGATTATACATTTTGGAGCCCCATGTAATCGATAAACATGTTGAATAAACAATTTTGCAAGGATTTTAGCTGAAGGGATTTTAGAACAAGGGGTGAAATGCACTTGTTTGGAAAACAAATCCGTTACTGCCCAAATGACTGTGCACCCCCCCACTCTCCGGTAGGTCTACAATAAAATCCATGGATATTTCTTTCCAAGGAGCATTTGGCCTTGCCACACTCTAAAGTAAACCAGGTGGCTTCCCCAGAGGTTTCTTACCTGAGGCACACACCGGACAGTTAGCTACATATGCCTCTATATCCTTTTTGAGTGCAGGCCACCAGAATTGTCTTTTAACGAGATGTAGAGTTTTAACAAATCCAAAGTGTCCCGCCGTCTTGGCGTCATGAGCGTGCTGTAACACCGCTACTCTTAAACTGGCCGGAACATACAATTTGGCCCCAATCCAAGCTAGTCCATCACAGAGTGTACATTCATTCAAGTGGGTTCGAAACCACTCGTCAGTCTTTAGAGCTTCTTATAGTTTCTGAAGCAAATTGCCCGAGAGGGCTGGATCAGCCCTCGTCTGTGCTCTGGTAGTTACTGGCGCTGCTTGTTGTGTCACAGGTATGATAGGCCGAACCACTTCCTCCTTGGTACTGTTGTATTGAGGCAATCTGGAAAGTGCATCCGCCATGAAGTTCTTTCCACCAAGAAGGTAGCGTAAAGTGAAATTAAAATGGTTGAAGTGTTGAGCCCAGTGAGCTTGCTTTGGTGATAGCTTACGCGGTGTTTTCAAAGCTTCCAAATTTTTATGGTCAGTCCAAACTTCAAAAGGATGCTTAGCTCCTTCAAAAAATTGTCTCCACGTTAACAATGCCCATCGCACTGCAAAAGCTTCCTTCTCCCATAATGGCCCATCTCCTTTCGGTCTCTGACAATTTGCGGGATATATAGGCACAGGGTTGTAATTTCCCTTCTGCATTCTTCTGCAGAAGTACCGCTTCTACTGCCAGGTCGCTCGTGTCAGCCTGTACTACAAAAGGCTCTTCCATGTCCGGATGTTTGAGGACTGGTTCAGCAGCAAACAACCATTTCAATTTTTTGAATGCCGCCTGACAGTTCATAGTCCATTCAAGGGCTCGTGAGGGCTTTGGTCTTACTTCACCTTTTGTTTTCAGAAGATTTGTTATTGGCAGCGCAATTTTGGCAAACGAGGGGATAAACTATCTATAGAAGTTAGCAAATCCGAGGAAACTTTGTAGTTGTTTGCGGGTGCATGGCGCGGCCCATTCCAATACTGCCTGAACTTTTCTAGGGTCCATCTCTATTCCCTCATGAGATATGCGATATCTAAAATAGTCAATTTTGCTTTGGTGGAACTCGCATTTAGAGAGTTTGGCATATAGTTCAGCAGCCCTGAGTTTTTTCAGGACAATTCGCACCAATTTCACATGGTCGTGCATTCTCTCAGAGTAGGTAAGAATGTCATCCAAGTAAACCAGCACCCCCTTATACAGATGCTCATGCAGTACTTCGTTAATCAATTGCATGAACACAACAGGGGCTCCTTGTAGTCCAAAAGGGAGCACTCAAAACTGGAAACATCCCAGTGGGCAGTTAAATGTGGTTTTCCATTCATCCCCCTCCTTAATTCTCACTCTGTAGTATGCCTCTCGTAAGTCCAATTTGGTGAAAATTTTCCCCTTTCCTAAATGTGCTAGCATGTCCTTCATGAGCGGCAGGGGGTAAACGTTTTCCACGCAAATAGCATTGATATTCCTATAATCAACTACTAAACGAAAGGAGCCATCTTTCTTTTCTCGGAACATTACAGATGCCGCCACCCTTGGTCTGGCTAGTTGGATAAAACCCCGTTCTAGGTTTTTATCAATGAAGTTTCGCAATTCCCCTAGTTCTCGAGGGGTCATGGGGTAGATCTTTGGCTTAGGGAGCTTCACCCTGGGGAGTATTTCAATGGTACAGTCCATAGCTCGGGGGGGAGGGTAGCACATCCAAGGCCTTTTCACTAAAAACTTCTCAGAGATCCCAATACACCTTTGGAATCTTTTCCTCCCCTTCGATGTGGCCTATTGCCACTTCCCCCCCATTCGTGTTCTATTCCGTCCTCCAGGGGTTTTTCTTCCCTCTCTAGTCTCGGTTTTCCGGTGTGAATGCGCAAAACCCCCGTTTTCCAGTTAACCGGTGTATTCC